ACACACACACACACACACACACACACACACACACACACACTACTACTAATAATAATAATATAATAATAATAAAAATAATAATATAATAAAAAAGGGTATAAATATATATATGATTTTGTTTATTTATTTATTTTGCAGTTCAAAAGTCTATTGGTTACTTATTCTCATATCTGTTACGGCATTATAACTGTCACATAGAGAACAAACAAACAACACAATGGTTCTCTACATGCTGAGAAGGAGAAAAGGGGGAACTGTCAGCGCAGTCGTTGCGGATGATTGCTGCAGTTTGCAAATTCTGCTGCTTGCTTTGTCAGAGTTCAGATGTTTTAGATATGACAATGATGATAACGATGATGATGATGATAGAGGTGATCATCATTAACTCCTGACAATCGGGGTCCTTGTTGTCTCTGACTTGGTGTCTTGGCTTTGCCTATAAGTTCCATGACCTCACAAATGAACAGTTTGACTCTCCAGAAGCTTTCACTGTCCATTATATTTTGTATCTCTTTTGTATGATATCATTTCTATGGATTGGAATGCTGGTGGCTGGAATTTGGAAGGATAAGAAACTAGCGGCTAGGAGGGTAGGAATGCTAGAGGCTGGGATATTAGGAATGCTAGAGGCTGGGATATTAGAAATGCTAGAGGCTGGGATATTAGAAATGCTAGAGGCTGGGATACTAGAAAAGCTAGAGGCTGGGATATTAGAAATGCTAGAGGCTGGGAGAACAGCAATCCGGGAGGCTGTCGGGGTTGGAACAACAGAGCCTGGAAGCTTATACATGACATAGGCTAGGAGGGTACCATTGCTAGAGGCTGTTTGGGTAGGAATACTAGAGACTAGCAAAGTAGCAGAATCTAGAGGCTGAGAGGGTGGGAATTCTACAGGTTCCAATACAGGAGTCTGGGAAGATAGGAATGCTAGGGACAGAAACGCTATATGTCGGAGGAGTAGGAATATTAGAGTCTGAGAGGATAGCAGGATTAGAGGCTGGAAGGATAAGTATCCAAAAGCTGGGAGGGTAATAATGCTAGGGACTGGATGGGTAGGAATGTCAGAGATTGGAAAGGTCGTTATAAAAGTGGCTGGGAGGTTAGGAATATTAAAGGTTGAAAAGGTAGGAATGCTAGAACCTGGAAGGGTAATAGAGGCTAGGAAGGTACATCAATTCTAGAGTCTAGGAAGGTAGGAATGCTAGAGCCTGGAAAGGTCCTTATAAAAGTGACTGGTAAGCTAGGAATAGTAGAGGCTAGGAATGCTAGAGGCTGAAAAGGTAGGAATGCTAGATCATGGAAGGGTAATAGAGGCTATGAGGGTACATAATTCTAGAGTCTAGGAGGTAGGAATGCTAGATCTTGGAAGGGTAATAGAGGCTATGAGGGTACATAATTCTAAGTATTCTAGAGTCTAGGAGGTAGGAATGCTAGATCTTGGAAGGGTAATAGAGGATGGGAGGGTACATAATTCTAGAGTCTAGGAGGTAGGAATGCTAGATCATGGAAGGGTAATAGAGGATGGGAGGGTACATAATTCTAGAGACTAGGAAGGTGGGAATACTAGAGCCTGTAAAGGTCCTTATAACAGTGTCTGGGAAGCTAGGAATGCTAGAGGCTGAAAAGGTAGGAATGCTAGATCTTGGAAGGGCAATAGAGGCTGCGAGGGTAGATCATTCTAGAGGCTGGGAGGGTAGCAATACTAGAGACTAGAAGGGTATGAATAATAGAGTCTGGAATGGAAAGGAATACTAGAGGTTTAAAGGGTATGAATTAGGAATACACTGATACCATTTTTTCCCCACCGAGTCTGAGTAACGATACTTTTCCTCAAGTACTCGAGGATACCAATTACTGATACCTTTTGTTTTTATTGTCATGTGACAGTTTTTCTAAAACAATACAGACTAATGATTTCAGGACAGTGGTGGGGCGCCAGTGTCTGCTCCCAGCTGCAACCGCTGCAACCCTGGTAGTTCTGCCCCTGACTCCAGGCTGTAGAAGGACTACAAAGCCCAGCATTACATTATACAGCAATGTCAAATAATATGAAGCTAACTATTCTGCGCTGCTGCGGGATGCCGGCCTGATGTCTCCAGCGAAGGATCTTAGGTGTCTGTGTGGGGTCTCTTAGGAGGGCTGTGCACGTTCTATGGTGGGCTGTGCAGACTCCCAGGTGGCTGTGTGTGTCTATTGTGGGCTTTGTGGGCTCTCAGGTGGCTATGCGGGGTCTATGGTGGGCTGTGAGGACTCTCAGGTGGCTATGCGGGGTCTATGGTGGGCTGTGAGGACTCTCAGGTGACTATGCGGGGTCTATGGTTGGCTGTGAGGACTCTCAGGTGACTATGCAGGGTCTATGGTGGGCTGTGAGGACTCTCAGGTGACTATGCAGGGTCTATGGTGGGCTGTGAGGACCCTCAGGTGGCTATGCGGGGTCTATGGTGGGCTGTGAGGACCCTCAGGTGGCTATGCGGGGTCTATGGGGGGCAGTGAGGACTCTCAGGTGACTATGTGGGGTCTATGGTGGGCTGTGAGGACTCTCAGGTAACTATGCTGGGTCTATGGTGGGCTGTGAGGACCATCAGGTGGCTATGCGGGGTCTATGGTGGGCTGTGAGGACCCTCAGGTGGCTATGCGGGGTCTATGGGGGGCTGTGAGGACTCTTAGGTGGCTATGCGGGGTCTATGGTGGGCTGTGAGTACCCTCAGGTGGCTCTGCGGGGTCTATGGTGGGCTGTGAGGACTCTTAGGTGGCTATGCGGGGTCTATGGTGGGCTGTGAGGACTCTCAGGTGGCTATGCGGGGTCTATGGTGGGCTGTGAGGACTCTCAGGTGGCAATGCGGGGTCTATGGTTGGCTGTGTGGCTCTCAGGTGGTCTGTGTGGTGTTAATGGTGGCTGTGAGGGCTGTATGCTGGGCTCTGTGGGGTTAATGGTGGCTGTGTAGGTTGTATGCTGGGCTCTGTGCGGCTCTCAGGGGGCTGTGTGGGCGCTTATTGGGGTCCCAGTCGGTCGGCAGGTAGCATGGAGAAGGAGGAGATTTTTGAGCAGTGCTGTAAACACACGCCGCCATTCATAGGAAGGCTGTGGGGACCTTGTTGGAGACCTCAGTAGTCTTCCTGTGAAGCCCGGCACCTGTTTACAGCGCCGGCTTCAGTTTAAAAATTTAAAGCGGCGGTATCAGCACTTAGTATCGGCGTTTTCGCAAGTACTTGTGAAAATGCCCAGCATCGGCACCGATACTAGTATTGATATCAGTGCATCCCTAGTATGAATACTAGAGGCTCGGAGGGTATGAATACTAGAGGCTCGGAGGGTATGAATACTAGGGGCTGGGAGGGTAGGAATACTAGAGGCTAGAAGGGCTTGAATACTAGAGGATAGAAAGGTAGAAATACTAGAGGCTGGAGGGGGAGGAATACTAGAGGCTGGAGGGGGAGGAATACTAGAGGCTGGAAGGGTATGAGTAATGGAGGATGGAAGGGTAGGAATAGCAAAGGTTGGGAGGGTAAGAATACTAGAGGCTGGAAGGGTATGAGTAATAGAGGTTATAAGTGAAGGAATACTAGAGGCTGGGAGGGTATGAATACTAGAGGATAGAAAGGTAGAAATACTAGAGGCTGGAAGGGTAGGAATACTAGAGGCTAGAAGGGCTTGAATACTAGAGGATAGAAAGGTTAGAAATACTAGAGGCTGGAAGGGTAGGAATACTAGAGGCTGGAAGGGTATGAGTAATGGAGGCTGGAAGGGTAGGAATACCAAAGATTGGGAGGGTAAGAATACTAGAGGCTGGAAGGGTATGAGTAATAGAGGTTATAAGTGAAGGAATACTAGAGGTTGGGAGGGTAAGAATACTAGAGGCTGGGAGGGTATGAGTAATAGAGGTTATAAGTGAAGGAATACTAGAGGCTGGGAGAGTAAGAATACTAGAGGCTGGGAGGGTAAGAATACTAGAGGCTAGAAGGGTATGAGTAATAGAGGTTATAAGTGAAGGAATACTAGAGGCTGGGAGGGTTATGAATACTAGAGGCTGGGAGGGTTATGAATACTAGAGGCTGGGAGGTTAAGAATACTGAAGGCTGATAGGGAAGCAATGCTACGTGCTGGGCGGTGTAGTGCAGTGACTGTATCTCTGCCTGCCAGGTGCTATTGGTGAATATCACCAATAGCACCTGGCGGGGGATATAAGTAGTTCCCCGGCCTCCCTTCCATGTAATTAATTCACACAAGGGATGGATCAATCAGTCACCAATTAACTTGCCGCATGTTCCAGGGAGGGAATCCAGACAGACACTGGGGGGGGGCACACACATACTAACCCCCCCACACAGGTCAGGTCCTTAGTGGTAGCTGTCCCCAGGGCTCCTATGATGTGGCCCTCACCGTGTTCTTTACATTTGGGTCACCTCCCTCTTCACTGCTTTGTGACAGGCAAACAATACTGCAATCATCGTATAGGTTGTAGCAAAGAGATGCGCTGTCTAAATCAGCCAATCAGATGTGGCCGTTTTATTTCCTAGTGCTGAGAATAAAAGCTGGAACCTGATTGGCCAGAACCTCATCTCTCACTCAGGGGGCTGATTTATGAACCGTTCACAAAGCTCTTTGCTGCGCGAATGATTTTCCATGCTGTACGGCCACTAGATGGCGCTGTGGAGTAAAGGAATTTCCTCTGCTCC